CGAGCGAGAACTTATCCGTGATGCGCTGCTGCGGCTTCTTGTTCACCTTCAGTAGCCGGTTGCTCGACACGACAAAGGGGCTTTTGCCGCCGTTCTACGATAAGTAGGAATGATGCAGTTGAGGTCACATGACCATGCGTTTCACTAGCATTATCGCGAAACTCAGTAGGAACTCTTGTTATTTTGGTTATCTGCGAAGTCCCATCACAGCTTCAATAAAGCATTGCTATCCAACATGACGGACTGGTACGTGGAGAACCTCTATTTGCTCGCTACGGTGCTTGGGTGCAGCCCGGTGGTGTTCGTATTGGCCTTCATAGTCATCAGCACACGAGTCCGTCGGAAGTTTATCGGAGAAGCAGCTAAGACTCGAAAGACATCCGATACACCGGAAGTGGCACTAATCAAGGCTCATACGCGAATGGTTCGTCTTCTCTCGGTCGTTGGCATCCTCCTTCAAGCTGTGCTAATCGTCAGTACTACGAGACTCTCGTCAACTAGTTCGACTTACTCGCTCGCGCTCATGCGTCCTGTGGTTAACTTGTGCGTGTTTATCCTCGGGTTCATGACCAACACCCATGCAGCTTTTCGTCTTGCGTACATGCTCCTACTGGGTCAGATTGTCGTGTTTGACACTATCGCCGAGGTTTCCTTCGCTATGGTCATAAATTGCATGGAGATGGAAGGCATGCAGTGTGGTGGCAGCGCTTTGTCACTCTCTTTGAGTAGCCTTGAGTTCCTCAAGCGCCGTGAGCTTGCCAGTTTGTTCTTGGCTCCGTGGGTAGCTCTCGAGACGGCCTACCTTTGTGTCGCTATTGGCTTCTGTTCGTCTCGATACTCGGCCAGAAAACTCTCGCTCTCCCGTCCAACCTTCAACCTCCGTGCCGCACTCCTCGCCCACTTTCCCGTCCACCCTCACCAGTCCGCAATTGACAAACGCCCTCGCTTCGCTGTCTAGCAAGTGCTAGCATAGCATTATGACCGGGATATATCACTATTTAGAGGAATGCTAGTTATATTCTAGCTAAAGGTTCTTTATTTTTTTGTGACATAAATATTATATAAAAGGGGTTAACAAAAACAAACCTCTTTATCTTCATACTGCCACTTTACTCAATAGCATGGCGACGTCAGCGCCGCCACAGGTGTCAGCACCGGCAGCGCCTAAGCCTCGGCGGACGTTCCACATCCAACTGGACAACAGTAGCCCGGCAGAGATTAACTTCAAGCAGCTCGTGATTGAGAGCGAGCGTGGATCAACTCCTCTTACACCCGGTGCCAGTCCGTCAAACACAGCGTCTAATTCGGTTCCAGCGACCGGGAAACCCGCGCCGGCGCCACGTCCGCAGCGATTCAACATCATCGAGCACCTGGAAAAACGCTACGGCGGTGGAGCTGTGCTTAACGACGGTGACGACGGCGACGTGGGCATTGG